ACCGTGTTTATACCATGGGAAAAAAATATATCCACACACACAGACAGACACACAGACATACACACACATGGTGCATAGTGTCTTTTCTTCCATGTTTATTTTGTATTATCTTGTTCCTATTTTGCAGATTTTCATTTGGAGAACTCACATACAATTTATATCATACACACACACACACACACACACACACACACACACACACACACACACACACACACACACACACACACACACACACACACACACACACATACATACATATACATACATACATACACACATACATACATATACATACATACATACATACACACACACATACATACACATACATACATACATACATACACACATACACACACACACACACACACACACACACACACACACACACACACACACACACACACACACACACACACACACACACACACACACACGTATATATACATACATGTGTGTATCTATCCTCTCATATATTTTCTCTGAAATACGAATTTATTATGTTACACCGTAATTGAATTCAAGTGTTTTGGGTGTCTCCTTCCCCAAATTTCACAGATTTTACATATTTTTCTTGCTCACCAGGCAAGAGTTCGGGAACAAATCCCAAGGGATCTTGGCTTCTTACGAAACAAAACAAAAAAATAAGACAAGGGATTCTAGCAAGAAGGAGAAGAAAAAAGTATTTTGCAACCGACTCGGGAGAAGCAGCTTCTGGAACATTCCATATTATGCACTAAACGTTTTCACAACTCATCCGAATACTGGAACGCGAGCTCTTGGTACTCTGTATGTATTTGGCGTATTTAATGTTACTGATTTGTACTTGAGTAGAATGTTATCTTCTGAACCTGCACTGTTATTTTATATTCCATAACCGGACGGAAGTGCTCCATTGGTCTTTCATGCACGAAATAAGCAGATTCAACTAAGTGATTTTTCTAGAACTTAGTGACATTTCGCACCTTATAACAAATTAGCCCTTAGTTATACCGTATTCGTGAGATATAATCCCAGACCTAGATAAAGATAAAAAAGACATATCAATGGTTCTTTACTTATATAATGGTTTAAAATCAATCCTGAATTAAAATGTTTTTATTGTTTGTATTTTTCTCGTTTCTATAATCATAACCCACCCACAAAACGCTTGTTAACGATTCTTTATTTAAGGAATTCGTACACGTGTCTGATTATATATACAGAACATTCCAGAACAGAAAGACAAAATTACAATCATTGAATTTTAATTATGCTGTATCACTTCTTTATTCCCCCTGGTCATTAGGCGCAGTATAGCATGATGCTATTAAATTGCCAAACAACTTTTTCCTTAATTCTCGAACAGCCATTTGTTGAATTGGAAAAATGTTGGTGTTCGTTACATATACGAGTGTGCATGTGACAAGGAACTTTAAAAAAAAAATAATTAGGAATCCAGAAGCCGTGTATAATTACATTTTCATAATGGAGTTTGAAAATATTGGTACACATCATGCATAGCGTATGTATATGAGTGTTTTCTTCGTTTTATTTGAGTAATGCAATTGCTGATGCTGTGACAACTACTACTACTGCTGCTACTACTACCACTATTAATGCTGCTGCTGTCATAATGCTTACTAATGCTATTGTCACTACTGCTGTTATCAATTCTACCACTATTACTAAAACTTCTATACTACCACTATTACTAAAACTTCTGTTATCATCACTAGTACTGCTACTTCTGCTAAAACCGCAACTACTTCTGCCCTTACTAACGCTACTGCTGACTACTACCATCACTGTTGCCAACTCCCTCATCATTTTCCTCATCTTCAGCAGAAATCCGAGTGAGGGATTGACCGGATGATCTCTTTATACAGCGTGTGACCTTCGACCTTACTTCCTTGCGTCTACTCCGTATGTAAAATGGTCAAGTAAACAGTCGGCTTTTTTCTGTTTGCGAAGGGAATCTACGCCCCCCCCCCCCTGTTTTCCCTGTCTCTGACCTAAATTTAAATTGCGTGCGTGGCGTGTGCGTGAATGTGTGTGTGCTGTGTGTATCTGCTGTGTGTGTATCCGACTACATATATACAATTGCGTATACCCGTGCACAATCACCCGAGGTAGGGGGGGGGGGTTGCGTGCGGGCGTGTGCGTACGTTTGTGTGCGCACTGTGTGTATGCGCGCGCGTATCCGTCAACATATATACAAGTGCGTATACCCGTACACATTCCGTATATAAATACCGCACCAGAACACGTGACTCAGTTTTCTCGATTCCTCCCACTGGAAGAGAATCTAGAAGACGTCTGATGCCTCGCTCCGCTTAACTTTCCATACAGCAGATCTTCCCCTTTGAGCAATCCCAGGAATACACACTCGGAGGAAACAGATGGATGGATTGATTGATAGGACGGCTGGTTAGCTGTTAAGGAAAGGAGGGAGAGAGAGGGGAGAGGAGGTCAGGGAGGGTGGGAGGGAGTGAGAGGGAGGGGGAGGGAGGTAGAGATGGAGGAAGGGAGGGAGTAGAGAGGGACGAGGAAAGGGGGAAAAGGTTGAGAGGAAGGAAGGAAGGAAGGTAGAGGAGTAGAGAGGGAGGGAGGTATTGAGGGAAGGAGGGAGGGAGGTAGAGAGGGGGAGGAGGGAGGTAGAGAGAGGGGAAGGAGGTAGAGGTAGAGAGAGAGAGAGAGAGAGAGAAAGAGAAAGAGAAAGAGAAAGAGAGAGAAAGAAAGCAGAGACAGAGGCAAACAGACACAGCCTCAACCAGGGACTGATCGCCCTCGACAAAAAAAACCTTCCCACTCTCCTTCCCTCGGCCTCGAACCTCGCACCTGGTCAGGAATCCTTCGAGGACGTACTCGTTCCAGCCGAGGAGGGGGGGGCAGCACCACACCACGCCATACGCCCACGCCCCGCACACCCACACGATCGCGCGCCCGTAGCTCAGTCTCCACCCTGGAAAATAAGAGCGTCTGGTTAAGTAAATTGCTGTTGGATTTGTTTTGTCATTTTTTTTTTTTTTTTTTTTGAGTGGATTATATATGTATAGACATTATTATAGTTATTTTTAAGTCTTTTTTTAACACCTACTGAACATGTGTGTACATATTTACGGTCTCTCGCTTACTCAGATGGGGACAGTCTTCACACGCGCGCGCGCGCGCGCACACACACACACACACACACACACCACACACACACACACACACACCACACACACACACACACACACACACACACACACACACACACACACACACACACACGCACACACGTACACACAGTCGTAGAACAAAATAACAAAACTAGGAAATGCGAATAACAATATAGACATAACACCATACGAAGACAAATAACAAAACACAGAACAAGATAGAAAGAAAGAAAGAAAAAATGAAAGAAAGAAAGAGAAAAAGAAAGAAAGAAAGAAAATACAACACCAAAAAAGGAACCAGATAGAACTCACCGATAAAGGGTTGGGCGATGGCATAGTACCTGTCCATAGCTATGAGTGCCATCGTGATAATGGACACAGTGCCAAAGAGTGCCCCGCAGAAACATAGACCTGGAGAGAAAAAAAGACAATTGAAAAAAAAAAAAATGTATTTTATGGGGAATTTTTGAAGTATTTGATTTTTTTAATGGGGGGGGGGGGAATCTGTTATTTATTAGCTAATTAGAGTGGGAATCTGTTGTCTGTTGGGGATTTAGAGTGAGAGTCTGTTGTTTGTTGGTTAATTAGAGTGAGAATCTGTTGTTGTTAATTAGAGTGGGAATCTGTTGTTGTTTGATTAGATGGGATCTGTTGTTTGTTGGGGAATGAGAATGGGAATCAGTTGTACGTTGTTGAATGAAACTCCAAACCTCAATCCGAACCAAAAATGAGACGACACCGCAAAACCTCTTTCGCTTTCATGTCCGTTAATGCAGTTAGGGACTTGGTCGACTTTAGCGGGAATTTCGAATCTCGTCGACTGTCAATCCTTCTATGATTGGCTTATGCGTCTGAATTGTTCGGTTGGGAAGGAGTGAGAGGAGGGAGGGAGGGAATGAGGAAGGAGGGAGGGAGGGAGGGATGAGAGAAGGAGGGTGGGAGGGAGAGGGAAGAGAGGAGGGTGGGAGGGTTGATGAGAAGGAGGAGATAAGGAGGGAGAGATAGGTAGGAAGTGTGAGGGTGAGAAAGATAGATATAGAAAGAGAGAGGGAAGAGAGAGAGGGAGAGGAGAGAAGGAGAGGAGGAGAGAGGGAGGGAGAGGGAGAGAACGAGAGAGAGAGAGAGAGAGAGAGAGAGAGAGAGAGAGAGAGAGAGAGAGAGAGAGAGAGAGAGAGAGAGAGAGAGAGAGAGAGAAAGAGAGAGAGAAAGGAGAAAGGAGAAATCTTTGCCAGAAGTATCAAATACAAATAATCATGTCGACATATCCAGCGCTACCCTCGCGATTCAAACACAGCCGCGGGTCTTGCAACATCACCAAGTTCCCCGGCAACCACCGCCGACTTTTAATCATTCAACCGAGTTCTGTAATCAAATGGACTCCGCAGCGCCCATCACTCTCGGTCAGAACGCCAAGCAGATCTGACGACACAAACAACTGCCGGTCTTCAAGAGGGTCACCTGAGCCTGGCAGAATGGGCCAAGGAACGTATAACCATAACGTAAACGTATCTTAAACGTCAGCATATCATAACGAAAACCTAGCTTCGACTGAGCATCCCCAGGAGTATAAATAAACATAAATATATAACGTAAACTTTCTTAGACTGAACATCCCCACAAGAGCACAAATAAACATAAATCATTACGAAACCTAGACTGAGCATACCCAGCACAATAAACAAACATATCATAACGTAAACTTTCTTAGACTGAGCATCCCCACAAGAGCACAAATAAACATAATATCATTACGAAAACCTAGCTTCGGCTGAACATACCCAGAAGAGCATAAATAAACATAAACATATCGCAACTTAAACTTTCTTAGACTGAGCATCCCCAGAAGAGCACAAATAAACATAAACATATCGTAATGCAAACCTATCTTGGATTGAACATCCCCAGAAAAGCACAAATAAACAGAAACATCATAATGTAAACTTGCTTGGACTAAGGATCCCCAGAAAAGCATAAATAAACAAACTTATCATAACGCAAACCTATCTTGGACTGAACATCCCCAAATGGAGCATAAATAAACATAAACATAACAAAACATAAGCCAAACTTAGTCTGACGCTGCGATGCCATCTTCAAAGACGCGACCATTACTTTGCGTGGATTTCAAAGTAGTCGCGAAGAACTGATTCACATCTTCCTGTAGAAATATAATACCGACATTCTCTTGTTTCTCCTTTTTTTTTTTTTTTTTTTTTTTTTTTTTTTTTTTAGTAGTATGTTGAAGTAGCATCTGCTATATATTGGCCCTGGATGTCACTGGATGCGCCGCGACCTCACTGCTTGCGAGACGTTGCACGCGTCGCTGCTTCTTGAAAGTAAAATCTTGTCATTAACTCCCAATCAACACAACACACACACACACACACACACACACACACACACACACACACACACACACACACACACACACACACACACACACACACACACACACACACACACACACACACAGCAGCAGCATCTATTGTTCTCTAGGCACGCTCACCGTCCCAAGTGGCAAGGGAGTTATCCATCTCATCACACCATCATTAAGAACAAAAAACTACCACAATGCACCGACTGAAGGCAACTTTGACCAACCTCTGGTTAAATTGCTATCTATACACGGTCTTTCAAATCCTTTTTACAACGGATTCCCGCAGCGTGCAAGGTCTCTCAAATCCTTTTTACAACTCACAGCAGCAGCACAGCAGACTCGAAGCAGGCACCTCGTATCACAAGCTGACATGGAAACTACGTGCTGGTTGTCCGGCACTTAGATACGGCAGAATGAAACAAGAAATTGCCAAAGAACGAATAGCATATACTTTTCTTTGACTCGTAGGGTATCGGCGTATGCCATCACTAATATTAGACCTAATCAGCATTAACGACGGCTAATCAAAGGCAGACTTAGCCTTTTGTTGGTATTTGTCCATTAGGAAACCTCACGCACATTGCTAGTATATGTAAAGACGACCCACGCGCGTGTATATACAGATCTGCATAATGATACTCGGTCAAACAAATTGGAGAACAAAGTAAATGCACACACGTACACACACACACACACACACACACACACACACACACACACACACACACACACACACACACACACACACACACACACACACAACACACGTGCTTCCTTCTTTATTTATAATTCGCCAGCGTTCCTTTCAGTGCAAATCAAGTTACACAGAGCATCAGGGGATTGATATATTTTTAGAAAACGACTTTGGTTTGACACATTTGTACTTGGCTTTAAGAAAGGAAAACTATACAAAATATATTCCACGGGCATCTATCTTATATCATGAAGGAATAATTTTCACTGCGGAACACACGGATTATGATCGGTTTTGATAATTCTTCGTCAGAAATGTCCAGGCGTGCGCAATAGATCTGATAATTTTATCTAGAAACGACTGACTTGGCAAGTGGATATTTAAGAAAGGAAAACTATCACAAAATATATTCCACGGGCATCTAATCTTTATATCATGAAGGAATATTTTCACTGCGGAACACACGGATATGATCGGTTTTGATTAGACTCTTCGTCAGAAATGTCCAGGTTCATCTACGTGCACCGCAATAGATCCTGACGCAGAAGCAACTCTCCGTTTCACCGCAATATGCTCAGTATGCGGTTTGGCACTGTCGGAGTTCTTTGCTGGCGGCTTTCTGTCTCGTAATATATCATATATCTCTTTACCGGGTGTACTGGGCTATGTTTACGGTATTCCCAAAATACCTGTCGATTCTCACGATGATAACACACGGCGGTAGCGGACTGTTCTGGGCCTAATCGTCATGCTTTCTGCTTTCTCTCTGAGGCTCAGAAGGAAACCTCTGGGATAGCAACAGATCTTTATTATAGGTTTATGTTTCGAAGCACATCGTGGGGGGGGGGGGGGGAGAGGCTATTCCTAATGAGATAGTTGGAGGGATCGTTAGCGAGGGGGGGAGGGGGCGTTGTTACTCGCACACAATCATAAACATGCATACACACGCGTATATCTTTACACGCACGCAAACACACGTACACACACACACGCATACACATACACAGAGACAGAGACAGAGACAGACACAAACACACACAGTTTGTTATAGACTGCGGAGTATTCCAAAACAAGAAAAAAAAGTGGAAGAGAGGTGGGGGCAGAGGACAAGCGACAAGAAAAACAACAAGAGAGAAAACGTATGACACCATCTCATGATCAATAATGCATTTCTATGGATTTCCCTTTCACAGCAATTAATCACATATTGTCCTTTGATTGATAATTTCACTTCGTCTGTGCCGCCTCCTCAACCTGGAGTTAATTGCCAACAAGTGTTAATTATTATTAACATTAATATTATCTGGCGTCTTTGTCCTTCTTGGTATCAACAGAAACAAAAATCATGGCTATTATCCTTACTATTATTGGCGTCGTTGTCGTTCTTGCTATCATCAATAAACAAACAACCAACAAACGAACGACAAACAGACAACAACCCAAACAACAATAACAACAACCAACACAACAAGAACAACGGTAATATCAATAGATAATATAATTTTCGCGTCTGTCTGTTTACGCGGATGTCGACCCCGCGAAAATTAGTCCCTGGGCCGCGAGCCATTCCCAAAGAGTCATCTCCCCGCCCGCGTTTTCTAACTTTCCGTATATAACAGGCAAATTTAAGGCCAATTATAATCTTATTAGACTTTCCTCTTTTATGCTTCTGGGCTTTTCGCGCTGGAGATCCAAGGCTTGACAATATATGGCCAGTCGGGGGCGCATGCAGCATGCTGTCTTCCTTTTCTTTTTTTTCCCCCCTTTTGCGCTTCCTCTCTTCCCCTCCCCCACCTCCTACCTTCTCCCCTTTTTCATGTGATTTTCTACGTCTCTTTCCTCCTTTTCTCTTACTCCTTTCCTTTTTCCCCTTCTACCCTTCTCTATCCTCCCTTCTCTCTTTCTCCTTTCCCTTTCTCCTTTTCTCGTTCCCCCATCCCCCCTTCTCTACCCTCCTTCCCTTCTCATTTACCCCTTTCATTCCCCATTCCATTCTCCTCCTCCCCACTCCTCTACCTTTCGTTTTCCTTTCCTTTTCATTCTCTCTCTTTCCTCTTTCCTTTTCCCTTTCCCTTATCTTCATCCCCTCTCCCCTTCTCTCCCACTTTCTCTTTCTCTCTCCTTTTTCTTTTTCTCTTTCTCTCTCCCTTTCAACTCCACCTCTCCCTTAATTTCCCCTCACCCCCCCCCCTTCTCTCCTGCCTTCCCGGAGTAGAATTCATCAGTGAAAGTAAGGGCGTTTACTGGCATCAGTCTGGGGCGTTTTTAGTTTTAAAGTCAGGAGAAAGAGTAAGAAGGAAATAACCAACCAGAGAGAGAGAGAGGAGAGAAGGGATGAGG